AGAGAGCATGCCTGCCTGAAGACCTTTCTTCTTGACAGTCTCTGTGATTGGCTGCACGCCAGAAATATCTCCTACATTTTCTATTTTCTCATCTGCTTTTACATTTACTTCATTCTCTAGCCTCTTTCTAAGGTCCAAGAATCCTTCATACTTCTCCTCATACTTCCTCCTCTCCTTCCTCAGCTGTGAGAGGCAAGAAGTTAAAACTTCAGTCTTGATGCCTCGAACAGATCCTTCAAGGCCAAGAGAAGACAGCTTCTTGGCAAGGACTTCTGAGGTTGCACTCTTCATTTGCTCCCACAGCTGTGGATTATCCCTTAAGAGAGTTTCCAGTTTTAGTGATTCTGATGATCCATTAGCCTCTTCATCCTCATCTTCTGAAGATTCAAAAGAGGAGTTCTCTGAATCAGGAGTACCATCCCCTGCTTTCTTTAAAATGTTGGGTTCAAGTGCAATGTTTGCTCTGGGGTCAGGACTAACAACCTGAAGCTGTGTGATCTTTGTTGTAGCCTGTGTCCAACGTGAAGTATCTGTCTCACTGTCCTCAGTGTCGTCATCTGTGTCTTCAGCATCCATTTGGTATGAGTGAGATGTTCCCTGAGCATTGCGACCAGGCAAAGCTGGGGATCTCATTGCAGGTGAGTCAGGTGAGTCTAAAGAGGCCACAGAAGGCTTAGTGGACCTATTGGGTGTGGGTGGTGTGGACGGCTTGGACCTCCTGATGCTTGGAGTCTTGGGGGACGGAGGGGGCTTCTGAGAAATGGCCTTCACTGGAGTCTCTTGCTTGGTCAAATCTTGCATCATTACCTTCAGTTTGTTTTTCTCCTCATCCAGAGCTTTTTCATACTCACTCCGCATCGATTCTTTCATCTCATTTAAGGAGCGTTTGTGGCTCTTCCTCTGTTCACTTAGCTGCTTCCTCAGGGCGTTCAGCTCCTCTGACAAACCTGCAATAGCAGGTTCACTCTGATGGGCATCCCCTAACTCCTCAACCTTGGTCTTCAGCTGATTTTCAATCTGCAACTGGAGGTTCTTAATCTCACTCTCTTGCTGTTTTATTAAGGCAACAAACCTGTCCACATCTACACTGTTTGATTGTTCCTGTCTGGGTCTCTGGAGATGGTTTATCTGCTGGTTAAGCTTCTCCAGCTCAGCTTTATATTCTTGTTCCATGTGGCTCTTGTCCTCCCATGCCTTCTTCACTTCCTCCTGTCGTATTTCATTCTCCTTCTCAAGCGTTCTCTTCTGCTCTTCCATATTTTGCATGAACTTTGAAAAATTATCATTCAGTGCATTAAACTTTTTCTCCATCTCAATGATTCTATAAGATTCTACGTCATTTGTCTTCGAGGTTTGAGTTGGCACACTCTGGAGGGGTGTGGCATCACTGTGTGGCCCTCCATAGTATTTTTTGTCCACTGTGGCTGTGGGTCCCGGGCAGGTCTCCCCAATAGCTACTGGGGGTACTTGCGGAATAGTGACAACATTTGCTTGTTGAGGATGTTTGCGCCAGAGGTGAGCTTGGAGAAAATCCTGCCCTCTGAAGGCCTTTGTACAGAGAGGACACTTGAGAGACTGGAATATGCCATTAGCCAAGGCAAAGGAGTTAACATACTTAACAGTCTCTCGCATGCTTTTATTGGTCATCTTCATCTTTTTGGCTTCTTCTACCTGCTCCAGTAATTTTGACTTTACCTGTAAAAGATTTTGAAAGAAGTTAAGAAAAAATAATATATAAATGATAAAATGTAATCTAATATAACCTTCATTGGTAACTCAAAAAATAAAATAACATGAAAATTAATATATATATATATATATATATATATATATATATATATATATATATATATATATATATATATATATATATATATGTATATGTATATGTATATGTATATGTATATGTATATGTATATGTATATGTATATGTATATGTATATGTATATATTTACATATTATATTTATATTTATATTTATATTTATATTTATATTTATATTTATATTGATATTGATATTGATATTGATATTGATATTGATATTGATATTGATATTGATATTGATATTGATATTGATATTGATATTGATATTTATATTTATATTTATATTCATATTCATATTCATATTCATATTCATATTCATATTCATATCTCTATATCTATATCTATCTATATCTATATATCTATATATCTATATATCTATATATCTATATATCTATATATCTATATATTTATATTTATATTTATATTTATATTTATATTTATATTTATATTTATATTTATATTTATATTTATATTTATATTTATATTTATATTTTTATTTATATTTATATTCATATATTCATATATTCATATATTCATATATTCATATATTCATATATTCATATATTTATATGTATATATTCATATTCATATTTATATATATTTATATTTATATTTATATTTATATTTATGTTTATGTTTATGTTTATATTCATATTTATATTTATATTTATATTTATATTTATATTTATATTTATATATATATATATATACACATATAAATTGACAACCCTAACAGAGAGAGAGAGAGAGAGAGAGAGAGAGAGAGAGAGAGAGAGAGAGAGAGAGAGAGAGAGAGAGAGAGAGAGAGAGAGAGAGAGAGAGAGAGAGAGAATAATCATCACCTGCTGATACTTCTCCATGACCTGCTGTGCATCTTCCTGAGCTTGCTGTAATTGAGACTCCATGTAATCTTGTGAAAGGAAAAGGTACTGGATGATCAGCTGGGCAAGGCGGAACATTTTCAACAGACTCCTTTGCCCTGCCATTGTTCCAAGATCAAACTCAGATTCTGCATCACAGAAGGCAACATGCGAGAGGTTCTCTTGCAAGAATTCAATGCTGCATCCTGAAGCAAGGTCATGAAGATCTACTGATGCTAATTTATGCCAGTCCACACGTTCCCGCCTCTGCGAGGGGAACTCTATGGCAGGAGGGAGGATGGCACCTCCTGCCGGTGATGCTGCCCCCAGCCTTGTCCTCATCTTCAATATTGTAACATTGCTACAATATGTAAAATGCTGAATAATAATTTACCTGTGAAAAGAAAGAGGGATGTGATCTGATTTGTATCTATTTTTATAGATTCTATAACTAACAGGATAAATAAAACATCATCATTATCATATCCTTAATTTGTGAATAGATAGTATGATGCAATATGTGATACTCAAATTCAACATGGTATTCACTAATCTCTCTACTCCTGCTTAAATCTAAATAAAGTGGTTGCAGTACATGAATAAGAAAAGGATCTGGACATATATTTATTAAGCCTGATCCATTAAGATATTTTTAAAAATCATAACATTCTGAAAAGCTGAGATAAATGTCTACAGAAAACTTGAAACTTGTTGTGATTTGTGATGGAAGTCTACAGTTTCAGATCCAAAATAGAGTACCTTTGGCACTGGCAAAAGACAAACTACCTCTACCACATATAACCTGGCATGACAGAACTGTCATTAGTTCCTTATTTCAATATAAATCACTAGGCAGATCTACAAATCTATATTTTGCCAGAATATAGCTTGTGAAGGTTTGTTGCCTTTACCCCAAGGTCCAAAAGCACAGAATAAAACTAGGGCATCTCATAATCACAACTATCAATATTTCCTACTCTTATACATCAGTGTGGAAACCTTCTATGCACAAGCACGTTACTTTCAAAAGTAGTAACTTGTGTGGTTAAATTCTCAGTCTGTCAAAAAATGTGTGATTTGTTAATGTACAACTATTGTTTTGCATTATGTAATGTCAGTGATGGATGATCCATTATTTACACATCTTTTTTATGCTATTAAAATGGTCTGTCAATGATGGCACTATCGCTTGCCTCTCTGCAGTCGTTCAGTTTGTAAAGTGATCCATGTATAGGCCAATCCATGCTACATAATAAACAGGCACTTCATTGACTTTGCATGACCAAAAAATAACAAAGATAGAACTGTGGGGTGAAAACAGAAAAGCATGCAGCCAACTGTGTATGTATGTGCCAAAACATTTCCAGTCTGGCTTATACATTACGAAG